CTCTGCGGACTCCGCGAGTGCATGCGTATTTATTGCGCTGCCATACGCGTTTGCGAAGTATGTATATTCGTTACGAGGCAGCTTACGTGAGTATATGCACGTGTGATGCCCGAATAACTTCAATAACAAGTTGTAATTTCAAGCAAATATTTGAGAGGCCGTTAATTGAATAATCTGAAACTCTCGGGCGATACATCCTCGATGATAATCTCTTCTCTGTTTATCCTTTTTCAATTCATCGATGTTACATCAGCCTCGATTCGGAGCACGCGATACAATTAAAACACGAAGGAAGAATAGCATCTAGCACACTCGCCGATAATTAATTTTAGTATTATGTTGTGTGTTCAATTTGGATAAATTCTCCAACTTTTAATCTCCTCTTACGAATTATAATGCAGCTATTTGTAAGCTATATTGTTAAATTCATAATTTATTATAATGTGAGTGATCACTTCTATAGAAAATGTTCCTTATACTCAGTCGTTAATTTAACTAAAACTGTAAAGTTTAACAAATTAACTCATGAACATGTATTAAATTTGACTAACATTTAGTTTATTATTTACTAAGTGCATACGTTAATATAGAAACTATTTTCTTTGAGAATAATCGTAGAAATGGATTGATTTTGATACATGGAAATTAAAAACAATAATATATTATTTAATTCAAGGAATTGAGTTACTAATATATATTGCTCCTTTAATATTTAACAATGTTAAAACCTCTACTATTTGAATATTTCAATGTGATATTATACACATATCGTCATTATATACACTACTGTTATACAGATACGTTCCTCTTTAAAATCAAATAATAGTATAGTGTATGTGTACATACATACACTGTTACGACACACGGACGCTTTATGTAAATTTACGATAGCGCGTAAATATCACCGGCGATGCGATGATTCAGTTTCCTCGTGCACCAACTCTTAGATCGGTTCGCAATACATAAAACATCCTGTGATAATAACGCGTAGATATCGCGCGTTCGAGAATGTAGGATTGAGCGAATAAGAATGACTTTGACAGTAAAGAGCGCGCCATCGTCACTTCATTCATCACTGCAGCCGGAGAAGAGCTAATGAAATCCACCTAAGTGTCTTGCGTCACGCGTATCCTCCCACGACGTGTCTGCTCATAAAGGAGTGTTTTTATTCACGGATCGACGTATTGTGCTTGCGTGTGCGTCGTAAACTTTGCAGCCACAACTGCAATTAACGCGATTCATCTTCGTTCGACCGTTTTCGCCAATCAGACGAGCAATTTATTTTCGTTTCTATATAAATGCAGATTAACTTTAAATCACACAATCAATTTAATTTTTTTTATCTTCTTTTAATTCTAAAAAGATAAAGTAAATTAAACTGAGATTAAAGTTAATCTGCGTGTATAGAGTTTATCTACATTTATAGAAATGGATCTTAGATTGAATAAATAGACATTGATATTACGATAAGATATTATACAAAGATAGAATTATATTAAATTAATGTTCATCTAAAATCTATTGAGATCGATAAAAATAGCTGAAGAATGAACTACACTTTTGTGAAATTTCGCTTGTTGTCTAACCTTGTAAGGTCACTTAAATGATGAGTTATAATATATCGCGCGATACTTTCAATGTCTTTTACGAGAATCAAAACTTTCATGGTGATTTCCTGGTATTCCTTCTCCGAGTGAAGGAAATCACCGCTGCCAAATGGATTGATGTAAGTCTGGCAGTGATTCTCCGCAAGAAATGCCTTCGTGGCGTACGAGATTGGCTCGCGTTCTGCCAGCTCCTCACGCTTCTTTTTTTGTCCTTCTCTCTTTCTCTCTCTCTCTCTCTCTCTCTCTCTCTCTCTCGCTCGCTCTCTTTTCTTTCTTTCCCTCTCCCTCTACTTTATTTGCGCATATAAATAGCGCGATCCAAAATTACCGGGTACTTCGGCGAACGGTGCCGCGAAAGTGGAGTCCAAGAAAAGGCCGACGATTTCTGCTAGTTATAAAAATATACGCGAGAACGACGTGGACGCTCGGTTGGCGACGCGCATTCTTCAACGAGGGATACGATGAGAGCAACTATGCAAATGAAAAACGCAAAAAAATATAGAGTTATTCATGAATCTTACTTAAGTCTTTACTACCCGAACTGATGTCAAATATTATGCAAAAACTTATAGCGACTATATAAAAGGAGAGAAACTTTTTTAAGTGAAGAGTAAATAGAAATGAATTATCTAATGGATTATTTAATGTTTTAAGACGCGATAAATTTTTCTCAAAATATTAGAATTAAACAAAATATATTAAATTGTTTGTGAAATTGTTCCTTTGACATAAATCTATTTTTGCATGATTATTGAATATTTTTATTTTAATAGTTATCGATCGATGTAAATTGTATTCATAAAGTAAAATTCAATTGTTTCTCTAAAAATGCTAATACCGATTGCCAAAACGTAATGAAATTTAATTTCTTATAATCAACGATTGTGTTCAATGACGATGGCAATCAAATTTTTGCGGATTGGAAATTGTGGATTTTAAGTGCTTGCAAATATTTATAACTCGATGGGTTAATCAAAAATTTAAAACATAGGTATATACAGGGGAGAGAGAAGATATATATATATATATTCGAATAATTTACATAATGACGATACATTGTAAATTTTTTAAAAATTAAAATGTGTGTCGCAATACACTTAAAAAATTATTAATGAGAAAATTTACAAAGAAAAAAAATCAAATCTTTAATAATAATATTTAATGTCTTGAGTAGATATCAAGCTAATTAATTATTTTAGTAATTACATTTCAATTACATTACATTATATGTACTAATTTGAATATTTCATAGAATGAATATAAATTAATTTCAAAATATCTTTATATAACTACGATATAACTACGAAATGCTAATGATATCAGACTAATGACTGTATCAAATTCAAATTGTAATGAAGTGTCAACTGAATGCGACATTTAGATTATCGACCTACATACGATCGATCGCATAATTATTGCATCGAGAAGAAGAGATAAATATGCCGAGAGACTATGATTCTATATAATACCTTCTATATAATAAGCTAAATAATTCATCGTCGATCAGTCGCGCCGGTGAGTAAATACGGAAGGGAAAACTCAGCTTATAAACGAAAATGCAAGCGCAGAGAAGTCTCCTCGCTCGTTCACGTAAATGAACTGTTGTGTATGTGTATGTGTGTGAACTGTTAAACCCGTTCTAAACTTCCGTTTCTGCATCGTCACATTGCTGTATAATTTCGCGGAGATGACCTGTCGCGCTTTGAATATTGAACATGCAGATAATTGCGTTGGAATCTATTTCCGCTTAAAACGTTGCAGATTTTATTAAATGATGTTAATATATAAATATTGTTGAACTTATTTAACGATATAAAATTTAATTTATACATCAGAAATATTTGTTAGAATTTTATCAGAATTAAAAAGCGCTACTTATAAAAAATATTATGATTATCTAGTTAGCGGGCGTTGAAACTACAATGTATCCTGTGATGTGTATATACTACGTGCTAAAAGAAAAGTTAATCTCACAAAGGATGCCTTAAAATAACGCGTAGTTAAAAGCGTGTCTACACCATTAGAGCGGAATCTAATAGAATTGGCGTACCGCAAGATGCGTAATCGAATTTCCTAATTGAATTATTTGCGGAGTTCTTATGTGACCGCCGATATTTTCCCTGTATGTATCATTTTAGATTAACTATTTTTTCGCTGCGAAGAAAAATATCTATTGATTATTATTAGCGATTATTCACGGCCAAGTATTTTCTCAATCGCGAAAGTGTACTGCGAAATATCTGCCAGTTACTTTCCTTGTGCAGAATATATGTATGATAAACTTATATACATATACATATAGACTTCATTTTAATTTAATTTAATTATATGTATGTATATAAAATTGATATATATATATATATATATATATAAAATAAATATATGTATATTTGTTATATTTTTATACCGCTCCTCGATATACATATAATCTGAACAAAAATTTTACATTTTTATCTTATACGATAAAATTAATTAATACGAAACTAAATGCGCTGTCATCTACATAGACGTGAAAATAGAATACACCACTCCTGGATATAAATATATCTCCAATATATTATATTTTTTACATACATATATACAATTTTGTGCAATTACGGTTAATTATGATAATGATGGGCAATATCTCGATAAAAAATCGAGATAGGTAACTTTAACGTTCTATTACATTTGATGTCTCGGTCGTGATTCGACGCAATTATTCAGCAAATTAATTCTTACAACTTTTGTGCGTCACGTAATTGTTAGTGCTCACGTAATCGATGGAATAATATAACGCATACCAAACGACTGTCAGTATTTTCTCATCTCACCAAGAGTGCATTAACGCCTTTGTATTTATGAAAACGTCATAAGGCAATTGACACAGTGGACTAGAATTTTCCAATCGGCGTCATCGTGATACTTTACTTGGGGCGACCTCGAACACCTTTCCTTATGTACGATCGTCGTCGCACGCGTGTCACACGATTCCGTCGTCATCGTAAATTCGATGCATTATTAGTGTCGTTACGTAAGGTCACTTTGCACGTAATCAAAAATTTACTCTGTGTCTATTACCTCGGGGTTTTTTACGCTTGTTTTTTCCCAACATCAACAGTCACACTATAGCATCCTGTTACAATAGAGATAATCAACAATTAAAATCGGATTAATCGACGCCATGCGCGTTCTCTTCATGGAATAGTCTCAACGATTCGCGCAGAATATTGAGAATCTTTCGTGAATCACCCTCCCCTCTCAACACGGAACATCGTGTACGACGACATTCATTCTCGCATCTGAGTCACCTGAGAACCCACCCGTTCGCCGCGCATGATCTCGCCTTTTCTTTTTCTTCCGACTTTGACAGTCGGCAGTGATTAATAATACCTGGTGCTGCACTGTTTGCAGAGACCCATACTGTGGCGATGACAGACCCACAGCTGACCAATAATAATAACAACAATAACAACAACAACAACAACGATGGCGAGCCAAAGTACCTACACAAGAAATTCAAGAAGATGGCGACGACCGAAGTTACGCCGAAAGTCGTCGAGAAGGAGGGCACGGCAAACAACGTCATTTTTGACGAGGCACCAAAACGAAAGGACGACAATAAGGATGGTAAGGAGTCATCGAAGGAACTCGGCAACAAACTCGAACCTTCGCCGGAGCCGACAGGGGGAGTCGAGCCCATCGCTGAGTCTCGAAAGAGCGGCAGCTACGCGTGTCCTTTCTGCCCGATGACGTGGACCAAGCCGAGTGTCCTTCAAAAGCACATCAGGGCGCACACAAACGAACGACCGTATCCATGCGTACCATGCGGAATTTCCTTCAAGACCAAATCAAATCTGTACAAGCATTGTAGGTCGCGCTCTCATGCACACAAGATGGAGAAAGGAGAGAAGGTACTCTATTGATTAAATTAGTCTAAATAATTTAATGGCCTTTGATAAAATCTTGATATTACATAAAAGAACTAATAAGGTAGTTGCCGATTAATACAGACGTTTAATATTTAATAGGCATTTGTAACTTTCTTATGTTAAATAAATATCATTTAGTTCATTCATTAGGCAATTCAGTATTATAAGTTTTGATATTTAATTAATATGCGACAATCTATAACATTTTTTTCGCAGGTATCTGAGGATTCCGACATAAGTCTATCGGATAGCGCCAGTAATGGTACTGGTACACCACCGCCGCCGCCAGCTTCGACGTCCACAACGGCAACGACGACAGTATCCACTGCTGTAGTAAAGACCGTGAAAACCGGCAAGATCTATAAGCCAAAGTTTCAAGCCCGAACAGCATTACAGTGCGTGAACAGTGACACCGAAACGTCTTCCTTATCGCCCAGTTCTTCTAACAGTTCCTGCTTGTCTTCCTCCACAAATACTTCCACTTCCAATTCTGTTAAACCTAAGGCGGAGCAGCTACAGGAGCATATCGACAAGATTATTACAGACAATCAGGCAATCGTCGATGCAGTGGATCCATGTCTGCACAAACTAATGCATCGCCAACACAGCCTAGTCGAGACAAAACAGTCATTTGAACAGCAGCCGTTAAACTTGTCTTCCGCGGAGGAGATCTTGAACAACAGAAAGCGTTGTTATAGCGATAGTTGTGCTCAGGAAGCGAAAGATGAGCTTCCGGATAGCTCAATCATTAAGGATCTTCTTTTAAAAACTCGCGGTTCTATGAACGGACCAGTACTGGAGACTGCTGTAGAAAATTTTGTCTGTCCCACTTGTAACATCCCCTATACTAGTATAGACAATTTAGAGGCTCACCGCAGATATTACTGTAAAGGTATTGACAATTCTAGAAAAGGAACCGATTATCACGCGGACTTAGAAAAACGAGATTCTGATTTCGATGTAAAATCTGCCGATTATTATAGCACCTTGCAACCGTTACCCTCGCCGGGTCCTCTACTAGGTAACACCAGACTAGTCGACGCGTACGCTCCACCTGCCAAGAAGCAAAGAACGGAAACTGTGCCGACCAGTTTAAGATCGCTAGAGGAGCTCAGCAAGTATCCGCGTCCAAACTCACTACAGATGTTCGGTGGTGAAGTGAGGATTCTCGACAACACGGGCGAAGTAACGAAAACGATGAGGATCGAGCCACGACAGACAAATTCGCCCACGAACGAGCACGTTGTCAATAGCAAGTGCATCAACTCGGAGACGGCATCGATAGTGGTAAAATCGGGACTTCATTCTGGTGGTACCATGATGCATAAACCGCCGGAAATATCGGCTAACACGTCCAATTCCTCCATATCTCTGCCCAACGCACCGAAGATATTGGCGCCCATTATACCAAACATATCAACCCCGAATATAGCGCCTACTATGTCCTGTTATGACTACTTGGAGTCGCACCTCAACCCGCTGACGAGCATCACTGCCTACAATCCGTTGACTTTGCCGCAAGCTGGTATCACAAGTATCCTCCATGGCGGAAAGGTGATACCTTATGTACCTGGTATGCCCGGACCACATACTCTGACTGGTACGCCGACTATAGACATATCTCCGAGTATAACGGCTGGCGAAGCCGGTTATAAAGTGATACCGGGCCTACCGGGCCTACACATGATACCTCAGCCACTCGACCTGGCTAGTTCAGTGAAGGTACAACCCAGTACGGTGCCTGGTATGCCCAGTCCATTGTCTGGACATGTTCCTTCCTTGCTAGACCAGCCTCTGGATTTGGCTAGTCCGGCAAAGGAGTCGATGAAGATCAGGTTCAAGACACCTCATGGCGCTGGCGTGA